AATACACCCCCCCCCCTCCCTTCTCTCTTTCTTTTCCTATTTTCTATGTTGTCCTCCCCCCCCCCCCCCCCCCATATTTATCCAGTTCCCCTTAAATGCATCACAGAAGGCTGCCAGGCATGCTTTTACGTATGAGTCTTATGAGGATTTCAAAAATGAATACATGACCTAGGGATAGCAGTTGAGCAGATGTCTGCGCAAGTCAGCATTACAATCCATCAGAACACAGAAATCCTCCCCTTGCAATTGTGTAAAACATTAACTGTTACTCCGTAAGCAGAGAGAGTAAAGATCTTTGCATCTTACACCATGCAAGGACTACTATGGATTTGTCAGAAACGGTAATGTTAAGTGATGATACACTCTTATGAGTGAGCGCAGCCCACATAATTTCACATCAGCAATGAATGTTGATGATTGGCAAAGTGACCTTTTTAAAAGCCTCGATTTAGAATTTCTTTCACACGGCCTAATAAGCAGTAACTGCAGTGCAGTCCTGTAAAGTTTGACATTGAGGTAACAGAGAGAAGTTGTATTTATAAAATGCCTTTCACATCCTTGGGATGTTCAAAAACAAAATGCAGCGCCAGTTTTGACAGGCTATCATTTTGTTTCACGATCCAGCTTAAGCACAGCAAGCTCCCACACATCATTACACCAGTGACTAACGTTCAGAGGCACTTCATTGGTTGTAAAGGGTGGGCTCTGAGATCACAATATGCACTATATAAATTTAAGTTCTTTCTTTCAAATGACAAGATAATCTCAATTTTCATCGTTCCACCATTGGCCCCAACTCCAATTCTGGAATTCTTTCCCTAAACCTTTCCCATCTCTTTACTGCTTTAGGGTGCTCCTTCAAAATCAGCCTCAAATGTTGTTTATGTGCCTGAGAATCATCTTCGAATGTTTTTATCACATGAAATGCGCTATACAAATGCAAGTTGTTGTAGTGCTGGTTAAACACTAAGTATTGGCTGGGACACCAGAACTCTCTGTTCTTTGTTGAGTATGTGTGTATGTGATCTTTGCTGTTCACTTGAATAAACAGATGGAGTCTATATTTGACGTTTCTTGTGAAAGACACTGCACCGAAATGTCTGCCTGTTTTGTTCAAGTACCTGGCGTGAGATTTCAGTCATAAATTGAAGAATGTTTCCAATTTACGAAGTCAGTTTGACTTCCACATGACCCGCTATAAGGAAGCAGCTGGAAGCTTGACCTTTATCATCTCATTGGATGGGATGAGGGGTGAAGGGTCAGGGTACACAGCAAGATGGATAAATGGAAGAATGAAGTGTCTTGAGTTCCATCAGGTCCTCTTTGGAATGTCATTAGCCAAAAATCAAAACTGAACCAGGTGAAGGTATCTTGCCACATGGACCTAAGCTTGCTCAAGGAGACAAATTTTAAAGGAGCCTGTTAAAAGAGGAGGGGGGTTCAGAAGGGAGGGTGTTTTGGCCAATAATAGAAAGTACTCAAGAGGCCGGATATGAAGAATCACAGCAATCTCCGAAGGTTGTAGGACAACCACAAATGGGGTGAGGGGGTGAAATGATGGTGATGGAGGATTTCAAAACAAGGATGAGAAGTTTACATTCGAGAAGCTGCTGGACTGGAGACTATTGTAGGTGAGTGAGCTCATTGTGGGATTTGTTGCCAGTTAGGGTGCAGGCAAAATAAGTAGTGGATGGATGGACCGGTACCTGAGGCTTTGTCTTTCTGCTTTTATCTACTGAATTCAATGCCAATGTGAAATGTCAGGATGAAGAATGAATCTCTATTTTTGTTTTCTCCCAAGCATTAGCTCAGTATGCATAAGCTTTTGAAATAAAATGTCGCTTTGCCAGCGGAATGAGAAATCTCTGAGCAGCGCTGATTATCCAACGTTCCCTTCATGCTGCTGAAATAGAGAGTCACCACACAACTTGATTACCATGGTAATGGAGATTATCAGAGATATGCAGGAGCGTAGAGTTGAAAATTAAAATCAGATCAGCCATGATCTTATTGAATGGAAGAACAGTCTCACAGGGCTGAGTGGTCTACTCTTGTTCATATGCTAGCTTTGTACTGCAGTGCCTAAATGGTTAGCTCTGCTGCCTCTCAGCGCCAGTTCGATTTCAGCCTCGAGCGACTGTATGGAGTTTGCATGTTCTACCCGTGTCTATGTGGGTTTCCACTAGGCACTCTGGTTTGCTCAATAGTCTAAAGATGTGCAGTTAGGTGGATTGGCTGTGCTAAACCGCCCATAGTGTCCAGGGATGCGCAGGCTAGGTGGATGAGCTGTGGTATATGCAGGTTTACGAAGATAGGGTGGGGGGTGTGGGTCTGGGTGGGTTTGTGTTCAGAGGGTCAGTGCAAACTCCATGGCCTCTTTCTGCACTGTAGGGATTCTGTGATTCTGTACTCTTGCTGTGGTTGCTTAGTTCTGTCAGCCTTTCTGTCTGCAACCATCAGCTGTTTAGAAGCTGATCTTAGCATCTGACAGTATGGCCTAATTTACTGAGTCTTTTATTTTAAGCTTCTAGTGATAATGCACTATGAACCTTGGCACTTCACAATGGCAACAACTTGCTTTTGTATAGAATTTCCCACCCACCATGTTACACAGGAGCAATTATCAAGCACAGTTTGATACCAAGAGAGAGATTAGGAAAAGTGAGATGGAGTTAAGGAGTGTCCTAACGGGAGAAAGAGACCGAGTTATAGTTAGGGTTAGCTTAGCTCCAAGGCAACTGAATGCTGGAAATCTGGAGGTGCAATGTAAGACAAGAATTAATCATTGGTCCACAATTAGTCAGCTGTCCTTGGCTAGCTCTCAACTTCTGGAGATCTTAAGTCACTTTGAGTCCAGGAAAGATAGAGTCCAGGCAACAGAACCAACACACAGCATGGTGCTTCACACCCTCCTCACAAAACAGCTAAATGGAGCTTTGCCAATCTTTTCTTTCCTGTGAATATAGGTCATGGTTTCCTGAAGTTGTTTTTAAAAACACAATTTGCTTTCTAAAGCTTCAAAGTTGTAAACTTCCCACAGTGTTTTCACATTTGAAATCTCCCAAATCCACTGTGTGAAGGAAGGGAAGTACTTGGAGGCTCTGGGGAAGGAGGAACGAGGAAGGAGGTTGAGTTGATTAGGTAACTCTTTCAAAGAGCCAAAACAGACACAATAGACTGAATGGCCTCCTTATGTCATGTTATTATGTATGAATTTGAAATCTCTTTCATGAAGTCCTTTTAACTGCATTTAGGATAGATTCTCAAAGGTTATGGTGAGACCGTGATCCTATGTTGCTTGAAGGACCTTTTGCGAAATTAGCCATTTGGTTCTGCTGTCACTTTGTTTCAGTTTACATTCTTATCTGAAGGCTGATGGTTTGAAGCTCCCAATAGCCTTGAAAACCGAACAGGGCCAAATGTTCTAGACATGGCTTTGCATTGTTGGCAGCACCATTTCAATGAAGATGTGAAACTGACACAGTTGCACATGAGGTTCATGTAGAAGATGCCATGATGATACTCTTCAATAGAGCAACAAATTTGTCCAGTGCCCTGACTGGCATTCCTGCATCAGCCAGTGCCACAAATTAATAAGTTGATGTTTGAGGGACCTTGCCAGTACGTCAGCATTGACTACTCTGTTCAAGCTGTCTCAATGGTGCAGGATCCCTTGCAAATGCAGGTTCACTATGATGAGCATCCCTCTGGTAATGTAATCTGTGGAAGGTTTGTGTTTGGTCGAGATCAGAAATCACACGACACCAGGTTATAGTCCAACAGGTTTATTTGACAACACAAGTGATAGAAATATTATTGGTGGTTAAGCTGAAGAGGTTAGTGCTCACAAACAAATGAATGTCCTGTATTTCTATAGCACCTTTCATGATCTCAGGAATTCTCAAAGCACTTTATGGCTGACTGAGTGCCTTTGAAGTTTAGTCACTGTTGTAAAGCAGAAAAGGCGTTGACTGATTTGTGCACACAAGCTCCCACAGTCAGCATCGAGGTAATAGATCGGATAATGGGGTGAAATGTGAGTCACCAAACATTCAGACTGATCCCCATCATTGCCAATGCCTCAGGTACACTGTCACCGTCCTCTCCACACACCCCCAAAAAAAAACGCTATTGAGTTCCTCTGAAGTCAAACACCAGTTGTTAGATGAGGCTTTAATGTTAAATGATTCTGAGTCCATAACTTTGCTAACAGACTATCTGCTCTTCGTCAGATGCTCAGAGCCTCTTTGGGAACAGTGGTGCCAAGACATTTGGGTTTGGCAGTGCCTCTTTCGGATCAGATCAGAAGACATCAGGCTCGTTCAGTGCAGGCTCCAGTGTCGCTGCCCAAGGCTTTGGCAACTTTTCCACTCCCTCAAAACCCCCAGGTAATTTGACTGTTTCTTCTGGGCAACAGATTGGGCCCAGCTGATGAGAGATCAGTAAAGGGCGCTGCTCTTGCAAGTGGATAGATAAGCTGGCAAAATGAGGTGTTCACATGTGAAGCCCTCTTTTTAGTTATGTTATGACCTGCTTAAAATTTTGAATATATTAAATAATGTTAATACTTCCAAATGGCCCAACACATGATCTACAACAGCTGCCTGAGGTCTTTATTTCTTTCCCTTGACCTTTCCCCCTCCCGCCGCCTCCACCTATCTGCTGCTGGATCACAGTCTTGTGTGTAAGCTTTGTTCAGATGGTAACCAGGGCTTTGCATTCTGACTTGTCCTGTCTGCTCCATTCATTCTCACTCTCCCTTTATCTTTCTCTTTAGGTGGTTTTGGTGCTGCTCCCGTGTTTGGCAGTCCGCCAGCCTTTGGTAGCACCCCAACGTTCGGAGGCCTACCAGCATTTGGTGGCTCACCAGTTTTTAGTGGAACAATGAGCACTTCGGGAGGCAAGGTGTTTGGTGAAGGAACAGCAGCTGCCAGTGCTGGAGGTTTCGGGTAAGATGCTCAGTGAGCTGGCAGAAGTGAGGTTAATGCAGAGCTGTGTTTGGATCTGTCTGTATGTGTTGAGTGATAAAGTGCAATAGAAGAAAATTTGTTTGACTCTGAGGTTATCCCTGTCTGCATTTTTGCTGTCTTTCTGCTAGTTCTCTCTCCCTCTCTGTCCCCGTACACTGTCTGCTCCCTGGCACGCTGTCTGTTCCTGTGCTCTTGCTCTTGCTCTCTATCTGTCTCTCTCTCTCTCTGTTTCTGTCTGTGTCTCTCTCTCTCTGTTTCTGCCTGTCTCTCTCTGCTTCTGTCTGTGTCTCTCTCTGCTTCTGTCTGTGTCTCTCTCTGTGTCTGTCCCTCTCTCTCTCTGTTTCCGTCTGTGTGTCTCTCTCTGTCTGTCTCTCTCCAAAATCCATCTCGTCCACAGAGCCCACCTTATGCTGCCTAGGCCTCATCCACATTAAACTGCTGACCACCCTCTTCCCTGCTGCTGCACTTGTAAATAATTCCAACTTGGTGTCAAAACTGCCATCATCATTCTTCTCCGCATCCCCTGTCAGCAGCTTCCCAAACACCCAAACCAACCCTTACCCTTGACCCCTTTGCTGGATTGTTCCATGTCCAAATTCCAAATCCTTCCCAATCTCCTTGACCACATTGCTGTGTCTCAGATATTTCTACATGGACAGGAAAAGGCCATGTGTATCGAGACACAGTGCAGGCTCTGTGAGCAATTATTTCCTTCTCCAGCCCAGTGTCTTATTGTGAAAGCTCCTGGGAAAAACAAAAGAAAATTCCTCAGGCTCTTTCAGGAAAAGCTTCATGGAATTCCCCTGCCCATGCAGACAATCCAGTCAGCTCCAGGAGGGCACAATACATATTATCAAACCAGCACAGTGAGAACAAGCCTGCTGCCTTCCTCAGGACTCTTACAGGGAGAATTACCATTTATCTTGAGTAGTTTATTCCAGAAGAGGGAGACACCAAAAAAAAAGTGGCTTCTGACATATAACCTTTTTGTACTTCATGCTTCTATCCTTGTCTGTCAACCCAGTTTGACTCAAATAAGCCAGGGGTTTAAGAAAGACATTTCTACCACTAAATGCACTGGAATTGGGAACATAAAGTGACTCAGCCAGTAAATTGGTACCTCATTGTTTGACAATATCTCTGAAGCTGTAGGCTAAACTGGAGGGAAATTTAATAAAAGGAGAGTGCAGAATTTGATATTGCAAAGTGCAGCCACTAACTTCAGGTTTTGCAGTATTACTTTTTGTTCCAAAGATAAGAACAGATTGCACAGATTAGGCTTAACTATGCAAGATTAATTGGTGTTCTAATAGAAGTGTTAAAGGTGAAAATATTATTTTATAGAATGCTTACAGTGTGGAAACAGGCCCTTTGGCCCAACAAGTCCACACCGAATCTCAGAGCATTCCACCCAGACCCATCCCCCTATAAACCCACTTAATCTACACATCCCTGAACACTACAGGCAATTTAGCATGGCCAATCCACCCTAACCTGCATATCTTTGGACTGTGGGAGGAAACCCACGCAGACACGGGGAGAATGTGCAAACTCCACACAGACAGTCACCCGAGGGTGGGATTGAACCTGGGTCCTTGGCGCTGTGAGGCAGTTGTGCTAACCACTGTGCCACCCCCAATGGGGTTGAAAGAGAAAAATACTATTTCTTTCAATGGTGGAGTCCAGGATAGGAGAGTATAACTTTAATATTGGAATGAAGCTGTTGTCCTTCAGTTTTTGTCTAATTGATTAGTAGGAGAGATGCAGGGACTGAGTGTCCTCCTGTTTATGAGTAATCGCTACTCGCATTCTGTGTAGATATTTGGATCATGCTAGAGTGTTCACATGCATGATGAGACCTTAGAATGTAACTCATTTGCTGTGAAGTACTTCAGCGATATGTGTAAGGACACAGCTTCTCCTTCATATCAGTGCCTGTTCAGTTCAGATTCACAGAGATTGGCATCAGTGAGCCAGCCCTCTGCCTTTGTGTTACTATATCTGACTCCCTTATCATGGTAACAATTAAAGCTGGTGTTTCTTCACTGTGATACTGCCACATTAAAAACAACGAACTGCGGATACTGGAAATCTGAAACACAAACACGAAGTGCTGGAGAAACTGAACAGACCTGGCAGCATCTGCAGAGAGAGAGAGAAGTGAACTTAACAATTGGAGTCCAATGACTCAACACTGACTATTTCTGTCTTTACAGCTGGGTAAACCCTGACCGCTGGTCTGTATGTTTATATATCAGTCTGCCTTTTAAGTGGTGTTTTTAATTGTTTTTTTTATTCCATATACTTGATAACCAACAATTTCTTTTTTCTTCCAAACATAGCTTTGGGAACACTGCCAATGCGCAATCATTTGGAAGCATAGCAAATCAGTCCAGTGCATCTGGTTTTGGAGGACAAGGGTCTGGCTTTCCAGCGTTTGGGTCCAGTGGAGGAGGTATAAGCTCTTATACTTATGGCAAAGGTCAGGTACAGCTCAGAAACAGGCCTCCCAGAGCAACTGGCCTTCATCTAACCCTATCAAATTAACCTTCTTTTTCTTGCTCCTTCAAATATTTATCCACCTTACCTTTAAAGGCACCTCTGAGATGGTACCAAGTTCCACATTGTGACCTTCTTAGGGGACTTAAAGCGTCGATGGGGAGAGGTTGTTTCGCCATGTGGGAGAGTCCAGGACCAGACAGCAGCATCTCTAAGGGGTCACACATTTAAGACAGAGATGAGAAGGAATTTCTTCCAGAGGGGAGTGAACCTGTGGAATTCTATACTGCAGAGGGCTGTCAAGGTTGGGTTGTTAAGTACAATCAAGGCTGAGACAGACAGATTTTTAATCAGGAAGGGAATCAAGAGTTATGGGGAAAAGGCAGGAAAGTGTAATGATGATTATTGGATCAGCCACAATCTCATTGAACAGCAGAGCAGACTTGGTAGGTCGAATGGCCCACATCTCTTCCTATGATCACTCCCAGGGTAAAAGAATTCCTCATGAATTTCTCATCCTTCTTTCAATCATTCCTTCCCCTCTTCCCCCTCCCCCGCCTTCCCCCTCCCCCAACCTCTCCCCCCCC